TCAATCCGAGTGAATTTATCAGAAATATATCCTAATAACTGCTGTTATCATTTGATTTATACTGATGAACTAATTTCTGATTATTCATTTGCTTGGTTAATCTCTTTTTAGTAGTCAATATATTGAATCAATGTCTACGTGTCTATTGATAACTATTTGATTTATAGTATATCAAGCTTTAAAAAATTCTATTGTCATTTTTCAGTGATTGTGATTGTCTCTTATTACATACAAACAGTAATCTTTTAGTTCACTCTTTTCGTTTCGGTCAACTGTGTATTAGTCTCAGGTTGATCATAGTCATATCATAGTCTTGAGATAAAACATTAATTTAACTAAGAGTGTGGTATACAGCTACCCTAGATGTGATTATTTGTACATAATATTTACATCGACATAAATGATTATAACAATATCTATCCTGTTAAAATATCTGAAAGACTAAAAGGAAAATTTAATTTAGGGGTTTATGGGGATTTATTGACTTTAAGTTGGCATTGATCATGGACTAACATCAGTTGCAGAAACACTGGAAACATAGGCGCACTGAACGGCTGTTTCATCCTAGTATGGAACATATCAGCATTGTGCACTCATGATCTCACCAGGCATCAAATCCAGAGCCTTCAGGTTCTATGGCTAGCACATTACCATTGATCCACTGGGTCCGAATCCAACGGTTCATATTTCCTTTTTCTGTCAGTTTGGTGATTATCGTACCATCGATCATGAGTTGATAGGTATTATTATTATTATTATTGTTTGTCTCTTGGGTTCCTAGTGGAACATAGGGATTCACTAGTATGTCTCCATTCCACTCCACTCTCTGCAATCTTTTGAACCTGGCTCCACCACTGCCCACAAGCTCTCATTTCTTCCTCACACGAGCTCTATGTCACCCTCACACCACGGACGCCCAACTCGTCGTTTCCTCTTGGCATTCTACCCGAAGGCTTGGCCTGACGCGTGATGTCCCCAAATGGTCTTCTCAGTGCATACCCAATCCAACTCTACTTCCTTCTGCATATTTGTTGAGCAATAGGTTCTTGGTCAGTTCATTACCAGAGTTCCTTGTCGCTTATTCTTTCTGGCAATCTATCTGAGCTTCAGTAACGAGCCAGTGCAGGCAGTTGTTGGTGAATATCTGTAGTTTGTTGGAAATGCTTTTCGTAACCCGCCAAGTCTCTGAACCTTACAGAAGCACTGACTTGATATTGGTGTTAAAATTCCGGATCTTGTTCTTCGTGCTGAGTGCAGAAGATCTCCACACTGGTTTCAGGCTAATGAACGCCTGTCTTGCTGTCTTTCCGATCCTGGTTTTGACATCCTCATCTGTGCCGCCGCCTGTAGTTGAAACGATGCTGCTTAGGTAGGTGTATGTGAAAGAGGCTACTTCCTTTAAGTTTCTCCCATTGATGGTGATTGGAGCTTTCTGTTGTTGGTTGGGTATCTTCATCACCTCTGTCTTCTCTATATTCACTTGAAGTCCCGTTTTCGCTGCCCTGCCTCTTCCGTCAACTTGTTAGTCTTTGCCTGTAGATCTTTGACTTTGAGTGACATTAGACACAGGACATCGGCGAAATCCAAATCTTCTAGGCCCTTTTCCATAGTCCAGAGTATGCCCCCTTTTCTCGCTCCTCACTGTTTGTTGCATGATCCAGTCCACCACAAGCAGGAAGATCATCGGTGATAGCAGACAGCTTTGTCTTACTCCTGTCTTCACTTCAAAGACATCACTGAGCTTCCCATTGTGGATCACCTGGCATGTGGCGTCATCATATAGTTGTTGAATGATTTTGAAAAAGATTTGTGGTATTCCGTAGTGTTGAAGCAGCTACCTGCCAAATTACTTATCGGTCGACGCTGTCGAAGGCCTTCTCAAAGTCGATGAAGCTGAGGTAGAGAGAGGAGTTGACTGCCATTCTATGCTCTGTTCTATGACGATGCGTAGTGTAGCGTTGCAATTTGGTTGGCACATGATTTGTTCCGCCTGAAGCCAGCCTGTTCCGGTCGTAGTTTTGAGTCCACCGCATCGTTTAGTCTCTCCAGGATGATGTGGCTTAATATTTTGTTTGCGGTGGACAGGAGCATGATTCTGCACTAGTTCTTGCAACCACTTAGGTCACCCTTCTTCGGGAGTTTGACTAGGTAGCACTTCTTCCAATCAACTGCCAGGTACCTTTCCTTCCTCCCAGACCTTCTACATTAGTGGTGTGAGCATGTTAGCTGTTGTCCCTGAGTCTGCTTTCAGTGTTTCTGGTGGGATTCCATCTGGTCCTGCTGCTTTCCAGTATTTCAATATTCTTACAGCGTTCAGGACTTCGGCTTTCGTTGGAGGGCTTGTGTTCACTGGTAGTTCTGTGGCTGGACTGCTGGTGATATTTCTGGCCAAAGTGCAGGTGGTGGTTGACTCAAGAGATTTTTGAAGTGGTCAGCCCATCGTTCCCTTTGTTTCTCCTCTTTCCTAACTAGCTTTCCTTCACTATCTTTCATTGGTTTCATCTGAGTTTATCTCTTCCCTTACAGATAGTAACCTGGTTATTTGATATAGTGTTGTCGGGTCTCTATCTCTCCCACCTGTAGCCTGTTCTGCTTCAATTGCCAGTGTGTCGTAGAAATATCTTTTGTCTTTGCGCCCACTCTTCTTCACTTCTTTGTCCAGTGTAGTGTTTTATAGGTTGTGTTCCAGTTCCCCTTTTCTTGGTTATTCATCCTTGCACTGATTTATCTTCTGCTTCACCATCCTCCTCTCCCTGCTCTATCAGCTTCCATGTATCCGTCGAGATCCATTCCTTATTTTCCTTCTTCTTCATTCTCAACATGGTTATGCAGGTTTCCTTCCACATCTCTCTCACGGAGTTCCAGTGTTATTCCATGCAGGTTTCTTCAGGTATGATGCTTAATATCTCCCATTTTGTCCTGATGACTGACTGACTGACGTGAAGATGTCCATTTTACTTTCGTCCCTCAGTTCAGTTTCTGTTCTGGGTGTTGAACTTGAGCTTGAACTATGGACTATCACCAACTTCTGTGAAAGATTGCAACTTGGTTTTGAAGGTAGGTTCCTTGCACTAGATAGTGAGTGGTGTGAAACTACCTGCATCTGCTCCCCTTCTTCATCTTATATCCAGTAGGTTGGCTGCATCTCCACTTTCTTCACATTGAGATGAAGTCGATATGATTTTTAGTGTGTCCATCTGGTGAAATCCATGTCGCTTTGTGAATATCCTTGTGCTTGAACACAGTGACTCCAATCGCCAAATCGTTGAATACACAGAATTCTGCAAACAGTTCTCCATTCTCGTTCATCACCTCACCGAATGCTTCTCGACCCATGGTTAGTTCTCTTCCTGTGTTGTCTGCTCCCAGTTTGGGATTCATGTCGCCCATTAGAATTTTGATGTCGTGAACAGGTGTGGTGTCTTGTCCAGTGCTGATTGAAGTTGTCTGTAGAATTCTTCCTTCTTTTCATCTACGTTATTTGTAGGTGCGCAGCATTGTATGATTGTGACTTTCCTTCCTTTTGAGTTAAATCTTGCTGTCATAATCCTGGAGATTTTTCCCACTGCATGAGAGCCTTCGTTGCTCTTGGAGACATGATGACAGCCACTTCAAGACTCAGTGTGCTCATGGTTGTCGTCTGGGTGAGAATATCAGAGTAGATTGATGACTCTTCAGTTAGCAGTTTGGAGAGTTCACTTCGATTACATTCGCTTTCGCAGATTCCTAGCGCTTCAGTGCTATACCTTCTCATTTCTTTTGTAATTTGGGCAGTCTTGCTAGGTTCAAACATAGTGCGGACATTCCATGTCCTCACGTTTACTTTCGCTTTCATCGAGAGAAGACACATCGGCCGATTGGATTCTCGAATGCTTTCACTAACTGGCGTTATTTCGTCTCCCCGATTCCAGTGAGGAATAGGTTTGTTTTTATGTTTTATTTTTTTCTGTGCTTTGAAGTTTGTTTAGCGATTAGATTGGTTTTACGGGGTAGGGTTGCTAGCCCTATGCCCAACCTTCCCTCTTTATCCGGGCTTAGGACCGGCTAGTAACTAGTGAACTAGTTAACCAGGAGAGGTTGAGTTGATAGGTAATGTATGTAATTCAACATATATTAAGTGCATGTAATCCTACTGTGAAACAGAAGATGCTATTTATCTGGATTACACACGTGAGATGTTTGATCGAAACTAAGAACTTGATTAGGTAACTTAAAATTCACCATCAATTGAAATCTATGACGGAAATAAAACAATTCTTTAGACCAGCCGGTTTACATTCGTTTTAAAATCTTACAACATGAGATAATTACTCTCTAGAATGCTTTTTTTAAGTGGATAAGCTTAAACAAAAGTTGCATAACCAATGGAAACCTAGGACTACTGGATAGCTGTTTCGTCCTGGTATAAAAGTTTTCAGCAGTGAGCAGCAACGACCCCACTGAGAACCAAGCCCAGGACCCCCAATTTTCGTAGCAAGTACGTTGCCATTAAACTGCTCAGTTAGAATCCAATGGCCCACACTTACCTACTTCTGTCAACTTGCGATGCAGCACAACCATCATTCACTAACCACTGTTGAGTATTTGTCCTCAAATTCCACTTGTTGTTCTCCGCACGTCACAAATTCTCTGATGAGTTCACGAGTGTTCATGGTTGATGAGTTTCACACTGGGACGAAAACGCTGTCTCGTGCTCCTAAGTTCTCAATGGTTCTTCAACTGATATCAATTCGTGATGAATACAACCATGAAATCAATCAAGTCTCCACTAACCTCTAAGCTCAAAACAGAAGAGCGGATCTTTTAGAAGCACTCTGCACAAGATCTACCCCAATGCATTTTATAATCCTCTTTGATATCAGTTTTCATATGGTCGAAATGCATGAACTAGATTCAAATCAGTGCTTATATTGCTATACGTTTATAATTTCAAATTAAAAATCACTAATGAAACACCAGGGATATGGATCTCTTTGAGCTCATTAAAACATATGACTCACCTTATAAAAAATGTGCTCACAATAGCTATAATAAGCGTGATGACAAAGTAATGTAGTGCAACTGAAACCATGGGTAAGAACAACGGAAATGGTCTAGAGTGGAGATTGAAAGTTTTCAAGAAATCTAGTCAAAAGCAACAAAAAATTAATACAGTCGTTACCAATAAAATTATAAACTGAAACAAATGTTAGAATAAAGCAAACCGTTCAGCTACTTACTATATAAACGTTCATATGTCAAACTATTGAATAGGCCGTCACAGTTGACAAAAACAAATGTTATATGACCTATCAATAACCGATAGAGAAACCAAACGGAAAAATTCATCACTATTTTGACTATTTTTTACTGCATTCTAGATAATTAATAATATAACCAGAATATTAGTATAATTGCTTGTATTATACCGTCGTTACTATAATTAGAACACAGGTAATATCGAGGCATCCACACAGGAGCCCATAAGCCAATAAAAACTGACCAATTCGGTCCAATCAATGACCATATAATACAAGCAATTATACTAAAACTATACCTGTCGCACAAGAAGTGGCTATTGTGGCTCCGTGGTGTAGCGAATAACGCTCTGGCGTTTGAAGCGATCGCTCCCGAGTTCAAGTCCCAGAAGGAACAGCATCACCCACTGGGACGTAGATACATCCAGCAGACGGGTCACGAATAGGACGAAATGCACATCTTGGATTCCACTGCTAGTCACTGTCCATCTTTACCATAACCAGAATATTGTTAATAATATACATGAAGTCAAGTTGTTATAATTAAGATAAACCTTTAGGTTTATTTTATGTCTTTGAACCGACTGCTTCAAATGTAACTAGCAGTGATTATAACTTTGTATACGCATTACCTTGTGAATAAAGACGCACTCGCTTACGTTTTCTCATCCCCTGCAAGTCATCAGTCAAGTTGAACACAAGATGAGAAATCTACAATCCTTTTACTAGTATTGTTCCCCAGGTTTGTAGGTGGTACCTTTACACTTATGAATAACATATGCAGAACACAGAATAAGTTACAAACATACAATGAAGCTAGTTAGAATGAGGGACATTGTTAACAGTCAATTAATGATTACTTTTTAGTAACAAGGCATGAAGCAACAACTATGAGGTTAGGAGAAGGTTTGTAAAAATAATTACACCGTTACGTAACTTCCGGGTAATTGTCTTTATTACTGGGTGATGATTGAGCCTGAAATGAAAGTTTGTACCGTGACCGGATTCGAACCAGCGACCACCAGGTTACTGGTCCGGCGCTCTACCAACTTAGCTACGAACTATTCATGTGAAGAGCACCGGGCCGGTTACTCGGTGGCCACTGGTTCGAATCCGGCCGTGGTCCGAATTTTCATTTCATCTTCAATCATCATCCAGTATAAATAACAGTCTGACAAACTACGGATATCTCAGATAGTCAACTGATAATTATCTTCTATAATAAATACAATAACGCCAGAATACAGTTAGCTAAACTTCAAATCGTCCATTCTCTAGTCCATCATAACACTGAATATTTTATGTTATAAGAAGGTAACAGTCTTATAGAAGTGAAAACGCTTCGACAGTATGCCTGATATGAAAGATTACATATGTATGCGTTAACCAAAATGCGTACTTATCAATTCTGCTTTATCCATGAAGTATAGCATATTGACTAAAATAATATTCTGACATCCGTATGATTTTCATACTCTCTCTTTAAACGTAAAGTTTACAATAAAGAATGGATGACTTTTTGTCTGAATATAACCTCCCATCCAGTTAAGCAGAGATAAAAAGCACAAAGAAGCTACTAAAATTGTGTTGGAAAAAGACGATTCATTAAGGAATTTTACGTCGCTATAATATCTTCAGCACTACAATAGAGCAGTTTATAATATATATATATATATATATATATATATATATATATATATATATATATATATATATATATATATATATATATATATATAAGGACATACTTGAAAAAAAATATTCATGTAATTCAAAAGAAAGAAGTGAGTTACACTTTTCCTAATACTGAGGAGACAATATTTTACACCTGAGCTGCTTTTCGAAGTTTTACTCACTTTTGCGTTTTGCCAGTTGAAATTGTTATACCCTATACAACCTATCAACTATGTTACATAACTTCACTACTAAGCTCCCCAGTAGTGAATCTAGTGACAAGATGAAAACAAATAGTTTTGAAGCAGTGGACAATATTTGTAGCTCAGGTGCATGGTCTTGGTTGCAGTGTGTTCCCCGAGTTGGGTTGTTTAATCATGAAGTTTTCATCATCTTTCTAGACGATATCATCACCATTAACTTCAGTATGAAGTGAGCTGTCAATATCTCTCCGTGAGTGATTTCGCGGCTTGCCTTGACGAACTGGTCTGTGATTGGTTGTTTCCTTTGATTGTTGTGTCATTGACTGTATAGATTTCCCTGTTGGCTCTTCGCCTGCTTGACCTCTGACCTTTCTATCATTTTTCTCATCTTTCTCATTGATTGATAGATTAGATCTATGTCTATACATCTGTTGAATGCTGACTGACTTGAATGCCAAGCTTCTAGGAATTCTCTGATATTCTTTGAGTTTCCTCTCTCCGTCCAAAACTTCTACATTGTCCCAATTGAATTCGTTGTGTGGACGACACGTTTGTCATCATTAAAAAAGATGATATAGAAAACACTCACAGTTTGATCAACAACGTTTTCAATCAAATCAAATTCACAATAGAGAAAGAGTCAGACAACCAACTACCATTCCGGGATCTTTTAGTCAGTAAGACAAATGTCGAAAACCTGGAAACCTAAGTGTACAGGAAGCCAACACACACTGACCAAATCCTAAACTACTGTAGCAAAAACCCAACAACACACAAAATCAGTTGCATGCAGACTCTATTCAAAAGAACAAGAACATACTGTAATACAACAACTTCACGGAGAAATGAAGAAAATTACTTGATGTCCATCCTAAAGAAAAACAGTTACCCACAAAACTTCATCAGAAGATGTCTATCCCGTGCATCATCAACTACAAAGCCATTAACAGATATCAACAAATGCATCACCCTACCATACACAAAGAATACATCGGAAGTCATGACAAGATTACTGAGACCACTTAGTGGAATTGATGTGGCTCATAAACTAACAAATTCCCTCCAAACCCCATTATGCAGACCTAAGGATGCAACAGCCAAAGAAGAAAAACCGAATATCATTTACAAAATCGACAGCAATAATTGTAGTCAATACTACATCGGACAAAATGGTCAGTCTCTTCGCCTTCGTCGTCTACGTGAACACGAATTGGCTATTGAACATCATACGCGACATTTCATCACTCATTTCAATGCACGTGGGTAACAACCATGGACATGAATTCAATTTGGACAATGTAGAAATTTTGGACGGAGAGAGGAAACTCAAAGAATATCAGAGAATTCCTAGAAGCTTGGCATTCAAGTCAGTCAGCATTCAACAGATGTATAGACATAGATCTAATCTATCAATCAATGAGAAAGATGAGAAAAATGATAGAAAGGTCAGAGGTCAAGCAGGCGAAGAGCCAACAGGGAAATCTATACAGTCAATGACACAACAATCAAAGGAAACAACCAATCACAGACCAGTTCGTCAAGGCAAGCCGCGAAATCACTCACGGAGAGATATTGACAGCTCACTTCATACTGAAGTTAATGGTGATGATGTCGTCTAGAAAGACGATGAAAACTTCATGATTAAACAACCCAACTCGGGGAACACAATACAACCAAGACAAACAGTTTGTTATAAGAAGAATATTTGTAGGTATATCGCTTAAATAAGTTAATGTTACCTCTCGAAATCAGAGTAATTAAGGGTAGACATGGAGGAATTCTAATTTTATACCAAAATCTCAAAACAAGACTATGAATAACTCTTAATCTATCTGACTTAATAAATACAGAACTTTGTTTGATGTACACGATCATTGTGCTACTGAAACATCTTACCTAAATGGGTTTTATGAAGAAAGTATTCGTCAAAATTCTTTGATTTAGACATCTATATGTATATATGCAAGCTGCAATAACCCAAATAAAAACAATAAACTCTTCTTCGAATGTATCTATGAAACTATGCAATCAATTATCTCTACTTTCTTCTTTCTGCTTCTTTTTCGTTCCCTTTGTATTATGGTTTTATATTATTCATTCATTCTTAATCTCATTGTATTATTTTATGTAGAATATCTTTTAATACCATGTTCTACTTTACATCATCCAGCTACCTTGTGCACATTCATGTACAAGGCAATAAGCCACGCTTAAAATGTGAAGGCTAATGATACTACCTGACTGCTTAAACTTCAATAGTTGAAGTGAAAATCAACATACTAGTTGAAAGTCAACACACCTAAGCCAATGAACCAAAACTACATGTTCATGTTATACCAAATTTGGACTTTAAATAAACAACAGCTGTGGAGGTTGTGGAGATTTGGAAATATTTCAAGTTGTTATTCATCGAAGACTGACATCAGTTAAAGGAACAAAGGAAACCTGGGAGCACCGGACAGCTGTTTCGTCCAACTAGCATGGGACTCCTCAGCAGTGCACACCCACGACCCCACCAGCAGGGATCGAACCCGCGACCTTCAGGTTCCGCGACCAGCGTGTTACCATTGAGCTAGCCACTGGGTCAGAATCCAATGCTCCATATTTCCAACTTCTGTTAGCTCATGGTATAGCTCAACCGCCACCCAATGTCATCGTTGAGTATTTGTCCTCACGGCCATCAGGCTTTGACTCCACCGGTCACGACTTGTCATTGAAACTTCGGGAATACTTCTCGAAGCTAGTCACCAACGAGCACTAGTTCAGTTAAATTTTTTTGAGGGGGTTGTGGAGATTTGGAAATATTTCAAGTTGTTATTCATCGATGACTAGGACGAAACAGCTGTCCAGTGCTCCCAGGTTTCCTTTGTTCCTCCAACTGATGTCAGTCTTCGATGAATAACAACTTGAAACAACTGTGGAGTTTAATTTCCTACAGATTCCTGAATATTGATATTTATTACTGGTGACAGAGTCTAAGATTTCCTATTTTAAAGCTACAACATATTAA